TACATGTGTTATTTAAGAAGACTCTTACACTTAGCTAATCTTCTTTATCTGTGTAGGTCTAGATGCTTTATTGAGAGTAACCAAAGAATTTAACAACTGTCAATGGTTCCTATTCAAATTGTGTTTGTTTATAGATTGTTCCAAGGAAGTAAGTATAAGCCAACAAGTGAAAAGAGCTCAAAGAATAACTAAATATATAAATGTCGAAGTCACCCAAACTGTTCTGAATTTGGAAGAAAAAAAGTGTGTGTGTTTATTTAGGATCCAATTTCTCACCTAATTTAGAGGCCCGGGAAATCCCCAGGAAATCTTTATTAGTTGCATTGCAGTGGTCAGAGCTTGGGTTCAGGTTAAACATGTATATCTGACAGATTATGATGTGAAAACGATTTGCATTTGTTGTCACTGTTTAGGTTTGAGCTAAATTCAAGTTTAACTTCCGTGCAGGTTGTGCTAAACCACCACAACAGGTGTTAATGTTTATTGATGTGTAAGTCCAAATGTTTAACTGTACAAATATGATTAGACTTAACAATAGCTCATTATCAGTATTGTGACTAGGTATAATGCAGCAAGAATACATTTTCTATTTCTGTAATGCCTGAGAGAGGGGGGTGTGAGTGCTGAGATAAATCTGTATCTAATGTCCCGAGACTGAACTCATTCTATTTATTCTGCACGCTTTATCAAATTTGCACCGTGTATGAAAAATGAAACTGATAAGAAGAAACCAAGAGAATAAAAGAAACAGATGTGCTACAGTGTAGAGTGGTAACATGATCTGGGAAGATAACAAAAGAAAGGGGGAAAAAAGAGCCTGGGGTGAGACACAGAAAAGATGGAGATTGGCAGGGATGCAAAGTGGAGTTGAGTGGAGGAGGATGACTACATTGTGACAGGAGGGAAAAATGTTTGTACTCCATCTGACACACTGACCTAGTGACGCCGTACAGCTCACAGCTCCATATTTCAGAGCAGGGGCTGCGGGGAGGGGGAGAGAGGGATTAATGGTGCCTCCAGAGAAGAGAAAACATGGAGATTAATCGAATGAGGGAAAAGGGAGTGAGGGATTACAGCTCAGTGGATGGCAGTAGCCTGAAATAATCCAAGCAAACTCACTGGCACAGTCGAGTACATGTGTGTGTTTGACTGTTTGTGGTTATAAATGAGAACAAATTATGAAGTAAAAGACAGGATGTGGTGAATGTCATGTATGATTAAATTACAGATGTTCACATAAAAATGCATGCAAGTGTTTTACAATGTGCGCGTGAGATGATGGACTGGAATGTAAGGAGTTGATGCTGCTAGAGCAGAGAGATTGTCCATGGGGCCCCACTCAAACCATGTGCAGACAATCAGTTACAGTTGGTCCCTCATCCCCACAAAGACTCTTTGATGTGAGCGAGGCCTTACAATTCAACCCCGGGGAGTCACAAGGCTACACTGGCTTTGATCTGAGTCAGGAGAAACCTTATGCCGTTCCTCACAACAAGGGCCCTCTGCACAACAACAAAGTACCCGCTCGCTTGACATTCAAAGTGTTGGAGGAGTCATGTGGGTGCTGAAAATCAGTTCACTAAATACAGACATATTGTATGTGACTGGTCAAGCTGCTACAAATGTCACTATTATTACCCATAGCTGTACCTTGCATCCCACATGTTCTAATGCACAGTAATCAAAGAGAGTTGGTTGCATTTTTTAATAAGATACTCTGTTGCAATACACTTTATTTGAGAGGGATGTGAATAATCCTGAAAGGTGTGAACTGGAAATATCTCACAACCCTTCTCTGCAGAGAAATAATTCATGCCTATTACTTGCACCACAGGGCTGTCAGTTCAAACCACTGTGTTTAGTTTTCTGACTCGAGGCAAAGGGGACTTTTTTGCTCCTTGTTTGTGAGCTGCAGATTTGCTTGTTGTTACAGAGTCTATGATGTAAATATCCGTCTTCCCCCCCCGTCTGCTCTCCCATCCTGTTATGCTGCTGCTGGCAACCTTCCAAAATCCTTCTCCATCTATAAGCTCTTCTTCTTCCTTGCCTTCTTCTTTCACCTCTTGCTTTATCATTGGGCAACAAAATGTCTGCCATGCCGAAGCTATGCCGAAGCTGTTCTCCCACTCCCTCTCTCTTTTCCCTTTTCTGCTGTCTAACAGAGCTGCACAGCGGTTACGTAAGAGCTAAGGTCAAAGTGTCATTGCCGTTGTCAAGGGAGACATAGAACAGAGGGGCTTTAGAATAGATGTGCACGGGGCGCGAGAGAGGGAAAAACTGCAGACACAAACGTCTGATAGGAAAAAGCTGTGCAGGAAGGAAGAAACGTAAGGATTTGAGCACGTATGCATGAATACAAAAATCAATCTGATGAAGTGTATAAATAAAAGCGATTGGCTGAAGGTGCCCGACTGCTCCACTAACCTAGATTGAGTAATCTCTGCCTTGATGCTGTTTCATTACACCGCTATCAGAGTATTGCATCACAAACCCGGCCCTACAGCTACCCCCCACACCTGAGTAATCATCCACCTCTTAATCAGCCAGCCCCCACTATCACACACTGTCTGTAATGTCTCACCCATTCAAATGTTCAAGAAAAATTTACAAGCAAAAATAACACATTTGGTATTTGTGGATGACATAATACTGAGATATAAATAAATAGCTCTATTCCTGTGATATGTTCCTGCAAGTGTAGTGCATAAATGAAATGTACCAACAGGAACCAGACTACAATGGATAAAACTGTGCACTGTCACTGGGTATAAACTACATTTAACGGTAGTGAGCAATCATTGGGAGAGCAGCAAGGCATATTTTCATAACACTAGACACATGACCAAAGCTCATTTGAGTACAATGGCTCAATGAATATTTTACAGGTCCAGGAAATGAAACTCTGAGACGCTGCAGCAACTCTACACAGTATTTATGTTGCCACCGAATTAAATGTATGTGTGTTCTCGTTTATTGGGGGAAATAGATATTTGAATAACGATTACTTTATCAACATGTCTGCTTATTATATTCTAGATAAAGACATGGTCTCTGAAATGTCAGATAATAGGAAAATAAATATCCATTCCAGTTTCGCCAGGTCATGTTTTCAAATGTTGTCATTCCAATATCCAAAGATATTGAGTTTAAAAATAATGAAGAAAAGCAGGAAATCTCCATATTTGAGAGGCTGATAATATCATGTTCTGACCTTTTTGCCTGAATAATTACTTATGTATAAGTAATAGTTGGAGATTATGTTTGTGTAGTTTTGTTTTTCTCCCTGATATACTACTTAGAACTGCTTTCTTTTAGCTTATACGTTTTTTTAACTGCATTCTCCACCAACCTCCAGGTATCTTCCCTCAGGTTGGGAATGAGTGCAATGAATAAAATAGGTCTACAAGGTGTAAGCTTTCTGGTAAACAAAGAGCAAGTTTCCGATAGCTTCTTCTATCTAATTTGCTAACATTATTAGATCTCAAAGGTGTATTGCCACATCTAAGTCAGTTGTGAGTGAGATGAGAGCATAATGAATGTCTCTTAAAGCAGAACTGATTGCAGGTTTAATTACATTCCTGGTAGGGATCATAATTATTTCTCATGACAACAGGGCACGAGTCAATCATTTGCTTAGCCGCCTTAAACTCGCCCCCGACGGCGCGATCCCGCGAGAGCTGCGAGAGGATCTGTCGGCGGTGAGATCATGGGAGAGTCCACCACGCTTGGAGAAAGTAGGTTAGCAGGGTAGAGGAAAGCAGGCGGAGAATCAGAGCGCAGAGGGGGGGTCCGATCACCGGTCGTCCACTGTGACAGTGGGACTATTATGTCAGAAAAGTTTAGCTAAATATCTACGCCGATGCACCGAGAGGTTACGATGCAATCCGTAGCGACTTTCTGCACTCTTTTATTTCGCTCGGACTTGACCGAGCGATAGGGGAGAGGAGTTTCGGGTAGTTTTTTTCCCAGTATTCTTTTGGTCGTGCTTTACGAAGGCTGTCTGCAGCCGTGCGAAGTTAATTTACGAAACCAGTTCACTCTGGCTCCAGCGGCTTAATCTGCTCGACCGTATCATTAACCACATGTAGCCGGGTTTTTACACCGTTCTGCCAAGAGAAAGAAAAACATCAAAATGAGAGGTAAGTTGATAGTTTTTCGCATTAAATCTGTCCAGTTGAACTTGGTGAAGATCACAGTGGGGGGTTTGTGGGTCTTGAACGGCCACATGTGTGCTCACGGGGATATGAGTGCGCTTGTTTTTCTCCCATTGCGCATTAATCCCTCATGACTGGATTATGGCTGCACAGAGCCCCAGGCTGCATGCGCCACGCTGAAGTTCAGCATGCAATGATAAACAGCAGGAGGCATATTGTTCAATCAGGATAAATGTCTCAAGCAGATGATTTCAGTTGTCATAATCTATTAGGTCTGTTTGTGGTGAAAGCAGGCCAATGGGCTACTTTAATTGTTCATGGCAATTGTTTATTTTATGCATCATGGCGGTGCCAAATGTGTCTGTTTTTGAGGAAATCTGAGTCATATCTCATCTGGGCTTTCTGTAAATGTTGCTTGGACATACATGTTAGGAGTTATGAAATAAGGAGAGGGAGGGGTATGAGAGAAGATTGTTATTAACCAAAACTGCAATTATGTAATAGAGACGTTATTCGAGTTTCAGGTTTCAAATGAATTTAAAATCTTGTGAAATTATGCAAACATTCACATTAATGTATTAAATCATGTACTGGTATTTACTATCATACAAACGTCTTATTTAGTGATTATTTTTATATTTAAATATGTTTTTAAAAATGAAAAAATTGTGAGGATTCCTGCTAACTTTCCCCTTGTAGCTTGGACTTTACAACATGCATGTGAGCAGTGTTGGAGTAGTGGTGTGATGTTGTTGTGATGTGATGGCTGTGCCAGCATGGCTGACCGTGTGAGTGAGCAGAGGGAGAAGGATCTGGCTGTTCCACTGACCTAGTTATGTCACCCACCGTTATACAGCATAGGCAGCGGCGGGAGGGGGGGAAGCTGTGGGAACTGCCGTGCCGCCGGGCGTGCAGCTCCATGTGCGGGCACAGCCGCACGCTCGGCCTTCAGTTTGTGGCTCCATGACACAGGCCGAGGATGAACTTGGGTAGAGGGCAGCAGAGAAGAAAAGTTGTTTACATACATACAGCCATCTGATTCCTATTGTTTGAACTATGTTTTTTCAATAGCCCTATTTTCTTAAGTGAAAAAGGCAAATATGTCTCAGCATTACATATAGCCTGGGTGACATTATTTGTTTTGTGTTGTCTACCAGAAAGACAGATCTTGCTGTAAACATATCACAGTTTTTATCAAAACACACATTCATGCAGCAATTTTAGTTGCAAACAAAGACCTATGTTACAATTAAACTAATCCTTTGGTTTCCTTGTCTTACATTACAATCTTTTGTTGTGCAGAACAGCTGCAAAAAGTTTTTTTGGCAGGGGAGGACAGAGATGGATTTTGTTTTAAGGGAGGGAGGAAGAAGCTGAGGGGGCCTCTCATGAAGGGAGGATCCAATTCTGGCAGGATATCCAAATGTAAACAAAGCACTTAGCTCACTGCACTGAAAATGTGTGTTAGTCACCCAACCTGCCATTTCCTCACTAGAAAAGCACGTCAGCATTTGTTTTCCAGTTTGAACATGCATACAAACATTTGGTATAAGAACCAGTTGTCTAAATAGTCATTGCGACAACTTTTGGCTTTAATGTATGTCCTGTTGTCATATCTGACACCTCCTGTGATACAAGATGGCGCTACTGCAGCATTTCTTAATATTTATTCCATGAAGACATAGTGAAATAGCATAAGATACACACACACTGACGGTGGGTAGAAGAGGCCTATGGAATTTGTTGCTCTGTTAATCCCCCCTTAGTGTGCCTCAGCCTGGCCTCCTCTGGTATTAGCATCTTTTAAAATAGAGCCCCTTGATTTGAGTGCACCAGCAGCCAAGCAGCTGTTTACTGTATAAGCATTTTGAGAGTGAAGTCTCATCTGTTTTGTTTGTCAAGTAGGATCATCCTTAGACAGTAACATCTAATTATTTAGTGAAAGCTGCGTATTAGAGAATGGGGCTGTGTGCTACGCTGTGTCAAGTGTAATCAGTAAGACACTTCATAGAAACAAGCACAGGGTGTGAAAACAAACGGGCTTGTTTCCCCATCTAAGAATACTGATCTCCTCAGGTTCTTCTCTGAGGCCTTGAGGCTTTGCAAACACATGTTTTGGAAATAATATAATCTGAAAAACATTCCCGTAAACATGATTTCAAAAGATGGGAGAGACAACAAGGGCAACCACAGTGGATTTGTTGTGTTACGGCTCTGTGCTGCACTGTTAATTTACACCCAACTGTGAGGCATGACACAACAAGTGCTTCAGCTTTGCTAATGAGTGAAGAACTCAAGCACCAGGCCCCTCACCTTCTACTGAGCGTATCTTCTTGTGCCGTCAGTCATTCTTATGCTGAGGTAATGGAAATAATTAAAAGAACACAAGCTCCCATAGAGCCTTCCATCACTCTGATGCTCAACGGGCATTTAGTTGTAGTCTGCATGTTATTGTGACTTGCTAAATAAGTGAACTGCCGGTACTTGGGTTAAAACAGATTGTACGTTTAAAATACTGAGACATGATGTTTGTGAACATGTGGAGGGTCAGTGTTTAAATATATTGAAACACTGTCATACTGACTAAGTAGGCCTACAAGCCAGAGGGCTCCTGCTGGAGGATTATTGGTTGTTTGTGGTTCATATGAAATTCCAGGAAGTGAACAGCCGAAAGCAAAAACTCAGTGATGTGTCTGTACCTCTCTCTATCCCTTCAATACTGAATTAGCCTTTTATCACATTTATTTGTAGCCGAAGTGTTAAATGTCTGTTCCAAGTTTTCTTTGTGAAAAGGCTTGGATGTGCAGTCTGCTCTAACACCATTCTTTGTTTGCATCTGGCGTCATTTTCAGCAATTTATTACATTTCACGCTAACATTTTCGGACTCGGGAGTGTTAGTGTGTGAAAAATGTTAAGCCCTGCGTGCAGCCTTTGTTTATCATGTAGGGCTTTACCCGAATATCCGAATATTCCTTCGTTGGAGTACTATTCGGGTTTCAATTTCGTAATTCGGATATTCGAGCACTGCGGCTGCCAAATTGAATTTATTGAAAACTCCAATATCAACGTAAGAGCTTGTGCCTCTTCGGGGGGTGCTAACACTTAACCATAAACGTTATCGTTTACTTTCTCCGTCTTTATATGTAGATATTACCATTTCTCCGTTAATTTCTGCCACATTGTTTCCATAGCAACAACAACTTCCTGTCAACAGCGCTAACTCTCCTTCAAAATAAAAGCATGTCCATACAAAATAGGAAGCCAAGCCAAATTACACTTAAGACATATACAACTGCAACGAAAGTAACAAACACAATGCAATATCCTTTTCAATTTCAAAGAACACAAATTGGGTTATATACATTAACAAATAACTATAAAACAACAATAGCCTACTGTGTAGAATAACAAAATGTATGCAGTGAATACACCGAAATACACGTGTTGAAGTGGTTCGCTGCCGATCTTTTCTCTATTGTGTCAGCGATACAAGTCTTTTATGACGTTGCTAATATTTGGTAGTACGTATGTAGGTGATTGGTTTAAAGGGCTGGTATGTTTTCATTAACCAAGCAGTTACAGACCATCACATTCAATAATGGAAAAATAAAGGATATAAATATATGACTTTCTCTCGATACCTGGAATGTCAGAAAATAGGAGTGAGAAAGCATGGATGTGTGTTTGCAGCAACATCGATGGGGGGACGGCATCTGTGTAATTCTGGCTCACAGGACAGAAATAGATTGGGTTTAAGCACAGGCTCAATGTCAAAGTCTGGCGAGAGGGCTGAATTGCTGACATTCAAGTTCAGATGTTGTCTGCTTTGACTGGATTGTTGTCGGTTACAGTATGAGCTCCTACCATCAAATCAAATGCTTTCTCATTAATAGAGCAGCACAGGGTTTAATATCTGCATAGCAATCACTCCATATGACAAAACATTTTGAGTGATGAGTGAGGTGTGTAATCAAACTGGTAAGTGCGGTTTCGCTAAGCCCTCTTGGCATATCTTGTTGTTATGTTACATGGCCAGTTTTCTGATGCAATCTACGAGCCTTCAGGGGAATGTTTTATGAAGAAGTCTGAGCATTGTTTGGCTCCACCTTAAAACTGGTCTGTGGCGAGTCAGGATGGTGCTCTCTGCCCTCCTCCCTCTCCCCCTGCAGTGGGAAAGTGTGTCAGTGGGACAGAATGTCCACATGGGCTGACAGGCTGTAGTGACAGATGACTCAGCCAATACCAACCTGGCTGTGAACGGTGCTCAGCCAATGGGAAAGAGAGAGAGACTGAGGAGGGGCGGGGCATCAGTGTTGCTTGAGTAAGCCTGCTCCATGACTGTTGTGAGGAATGCTCGCATTTGAGAGTTATATAATCCTGAGATGAAGGAAAGGTGGTAGGGGAACATGAGTAAAAGAGAGAAAGGGAGGGAGATATTTTTCCGTTGCGTGCCCGTAGCTGCTCTGATCGGTTGGAGTTTTTTCGGCAATAGTTTTCGAGAGGAGACAGCTGACTGTGTCATTATCGAGGAAAAGTGGAAAGTTGTGTTTTCCAGTACCTAAGGGTGCAACAATTCCTGCTCAAGTGTTTTTCCATACATGTTTGTAAATTGGTCAAAGATTGTACTCTGTGCAGGGCTGAGCAACAACTATCTGATGATGTAAGCCGGTGTTGTTTTTCTTGTTGGACAAGAAAAGAGTATTTTGTGTATACTGTAGGTCCTGTGTGCAGGCGTCATGTGATTCCCTATCTGTTTGTGTACTTTGTTCCTTCATTGGGGCCACATGAAGGGTGCAGACAAACACATTTCATGGCAAGTTATCTTCTCCTGTACTGCTTGTTGTGAGACAGTTTGTCTGCATCAGTAATAAAAGTAATAAACATACATGACTTTATTGATGCCACATTGTTGCTCACTCACTGGACCTATTGCAAGAAATGTTTTTTGTCATTGATTACCACACTCTGGTGCAAAGTACAGGATTTGTCTCTGTTTGTTTTCCAAGTGTGTTAATCATTTTTCAAACAATTGTTACGGTAAAGTTCTGAAGGCAGCGAGATAAGAGAATTATGTTAAAGGCCTCCAAATAAAAGACGGCACCCATTTTTATTGGATCTACAGTTTCACCATAGCTGCTAATGAGCGTGTTATAACCAGAAGGACTGACCTGGGACCACAGACTGTATTCAACATTTTCAACATGTCTAAACCTTTCTAACATTGCCTGTAAAAACTCACAGAAAAATAGATTGTTAAAATCCGCTACATTTGCATCAGCTGGAGACAAAGAGATAGTCTTGTAATAGTGCTCAGAGTTATAGCGTTATAGCGTCTTTGAGTATTAAGAAAAACGCTATACAAATCCCATGTATTATTATTACATGGGTGACTGTTTCAAGTTTTAAAGAAGATGCAAAGGAGCACATTTTGACCATTGTTTAACTCTGGGGAAATGTCACAACATAAAGGAACACAACTCAAGCCTGGAATATGGCTGGCTTACTTTTTCATCAGCACTTTCAACAAACGTTTAAAAACAGGTTTAAGTGGAAGTAAGTGTGCAGCTTTAGCATGTGCTTACTATCAACAAATGTTTGATAACAAGTGGCGCTAAATCAATGTAAAATATGGCCTTCTGTAAAATTGTTATGTCTAAAATAATGTATCATGTTTCCCAATGTTAAGTTAGTGTTTAGATTTGAACCATCTTTTGGCAACAGTTCCCAGTATGTCTCAACAATATAAAATAAGCAATAGCTGTTACCACTGAACTTCGCAAAGCAGATCTTCTTATCTCTAGTTTTGAATTGTACCTGAATCTGACCTCTTCTTTCAATGTTTTGGTTGGTCCTGCAGCTCAGATCGAGGTCATCCCCTGTAAGATATGTGGGGACAAGTCCTCAGGAATCCACTATGGCGTTATAACCTGCGAAGGCTGCAAGGTGAGGAGGAAACACAGAGTAAACCTGGCTACCAAACATAAATTAAACAAACCTGTTTATTCATTTAAAATGTGCTTGTCATTTAAAGTGTTTGTATGCTTGTGTGTCCTAGGGTTTTTTCCGTCGCAGCCAGCAGAACAATGCCATGTACTCTTGTTCCCGCCAGAGGAACTGCCTGATCGACCGAACTAACCGTAACCGCTGCCAGCACTGCCGCCTGCAGAAGTGTCTGGCCTTAGGCATGAGCAGAGATGGTAAAAACAAAAACCACACACTGCATCCTCTTTACACACCTCCTTTTACCATGTGATTCAGCCTTAAACTCATTTATTTACCACAGATGGAGTTTGTTAAACTTTCTTTTACATTGGCAACATTTAATATATTTTTTTTCTCTGGCAATCCCAGTACATGTGTTCCTTTTTAATTAAAAGCTTATACCAGGAGAATTCACAATCACTACCCTGACAAGGCTTGCCACATGTTAACCTGTACACTAGGTGGCAGAAGTACAAAAATAAAACGTTTTAATTTGATTGAGCTGACGGCTATAGAGGTGAAATGTATTTTGGTTGCAAAAACTCTGCCAAAAAAAGTATTTTTTTGTTTTTGTTTTTCTACTATAATAAAACGCATTTTATCTCTTTAGCTGTCAAGTTTGGACGTATGTCCAAGAAGCAGCGTGACAGTCTCTACGCTGAGGTGCAGAAACACCAGAAGGCCCAGGAGGCTTTGGGCACTGCAGGCGGTGGTGCTACAGCTCTGTCCTTACACAAAGAGGACGGTGTCTGTGGCAGGGAGGGGGGCAAGGAGAGTCTGAGCCGGTCCTACAGCAGCGGGGGCTCCAGCTCCACCCTCAGCGACCTGGACGACATCGCAACGCTGCCGGACCTGTTCGAACTGCCGCTAACCCCCGAGGAGGCCAGCGACTACTGCAGCATGGAACTGATCGGCGGTGGAGCCAGTGTGGGGAACACCTCTGCCTCATCTTCCTCTTCCTCCTCCCCATCCTTGTCCAATCAGAATTCCCCGCAGCAGACTATGCTGGACGGAGCCGACAGCAACGGGATCCAGATTCTGCATCCTCACACACATGCACTGCTGGACCATCTGCCTAATGACTGCTCAATAACAGAACTCGGTAAGTACTGACATGATAAAGGACAACTATTTCCTCTTTATTTTAATTGCTTTCTGCAAACACAGAAGAGGCTTCTCAATTCTTAAATTTCCCCTCCTCGACTCCCCTCCTCAAGACTTAGTCCCGCCCACAGGAGATGCGAGCAGAGGACCGAGGAGGGGAACCGAGGAGAGAGGAGGGGAAGCAGCAGACGTTTAAAGAAATGAGAACTCTCTCCTCTGAGCGGTCATTTTAAAGAGACGTCCGTTCATTATTACGTGGCAACAGCTGCATCAGCTGTCGAGTGTTTTGTCATAGTGCTGTATCTCTGTTAGATCAGCTGAACATTGTTCCCCCACATATTTACTTTGAATTCATTGAGAGTGCGCCAGTATAATGAGACAATAACAGGCTACAGATGCGGACACACACACACAAATATATTTATATAAATATATACAATTTAAAGTATGAGAGCACATAATAACGTAACACAATCAGAGACTGGATATATCCCCCCCTCTCTCTGGTCGCTGAAATGGGGAATTGAAATTACGGGCCAAAAGTTGTATTTACAAGTAGGCCTATTAAAAGTAAGCAGAGGACACCAAACCAACTGAGACCCGTCTGTCCGCCGCATTTACGCGCTGTACAACACACACCTACGCACTGTACCACACACACACACCTACGCACTGTACCACACACACACACCTACACACTGTACCACACACACCTACAGCTCCTAAAGCATAAGCCGTTGTGTATTTTATTATGTGAAGCAATGGTCTTAGAAAAATATCGACTCTATGTTTGTAGATATCTACTAAACTAAAGCAAATAAAGAGAGTAGGCCTGTTATACTGAGTGATATATATTATACACACTGCTCTGCTTTCTGCATGGACCTTACAGCTGTTCTCTCTGGAAACATCGTGACGCGATGAAAGCAGTTTCTAAAATAATATCCAGGGGATGCATGCAGAGCTGTCATTGGCTGAGATAAGTCCGGCCGTGCGTCACGCCTCCACCGTTCCCGGAAATGCATCCATGGAGGAACCATCAGTGTATCCTCGGTTAGAGCTCCTCCAGAGAGCCTCCTCGACGCTCGATCCTCGGTCCTCGGTGTGCATTTAGAGAATGAGATGTCCTTCAAAATGGCGCGCTGAAATTCATTTCCGGGTCACTACCGGAGGACCGAGGAGTCGAGGAGGGGAAATTTGAGTATTGAGAAGCCTCTATAGTCTCAGAGTGTATGACAATAACTAAAACTCTATGTACTTAAATAAAGACAAACTAGGTCTTCAATAAATAATTGATGAGAGACAAGGCAAGAGAGGCAATTATCTGTGAGGTTCAACTTTTTATGTTTTGTCCCATTTTAGTTTTATGTATTTTCTTGGTCTTTGCTTTTAATGAAAATGTGAAACTGTCTGTTTCACATTAAATCACTCACTGAACAAATAACAATGTTTAAAGAAGGATTGATATGAACATGTTGCACTGTAATTCTATACAAATATAGAAACTGTTGTGCTGCCAGGCCATTATATGTTTTTATTTTCAAATGTACAGTAAATTAAGATGCGGGCAGATGTAATTTAAAACAAAACAATTGTAAAGAAAACCCCCACAAAGATTAGGTTTTAGGACATATCTTATAACAGGGTTCATACACTTTTTCACCAATGATTTTCAATGACTTTTCCATGACTTCTCCATGACCTTTACCTAATTTTCCATGACCAAACAAATTACTCTTTCTCAGTGGTACCACTGAAAATAGTTTATTTTAACATGGAACAGGAAAATAAGGTCTGCATATGAAACATGTTGTGCCTACCTAAAACAAATCAAATAGTAGGCTTACTAGCTTCTACACGCTAAAGCAACTCAAATCTCTCACCATCAAAATACCTCGTCAGTTAAATGCCATTTTACGTTTCATTACTATACGATACAGTATTTATTATCATTATAGTATTACTATTTTGGCGATTAGATAAAATATAAATTATATTTGATGCCACTTTAGTTACATTTCCATGACTTTTCTAAAACTTTGGGAAAAATATTATTTTCCATAACTTTTTCAGGGCCTGGAATTAGCGTTTTGAATTTTCCAGGTTTTTAATGACCGTAAGAACCCTGTTATAAGCAGGTAGAACCAGAATAATACACTACAGATGGATAGTGCAGCAAAACAGAAAGTAAGATCTGTATCAGATCGAAACAGGGACAGATGAAGGGATGATGGTGTGGTGATAAGAAAAGCTCAGCATTTTTAGGAGGCCTTGAGGAAGAATATATATTTTTATTGTACTTCTTTATGGTTGTTGGCATCACCAAACCATTGCATGCAGGCTTTAATAGAGCTCTAGGGACCTCTCAACGAAGCAATGAGTAAATATTGTGACGGGTGGGTTTTATAAGTGCAGGAGGTGGAAGAGAGCCAAACAGCTGCGGATGTAAAATGAGTTGATGAGCCTTAACACTTTATCTTGTCCGGGCATCTGTGCCAGAAGTGAGAGCAGAACGGTGCAAAGCATCAGGTTTCCATGATCTGTGGTTGTGCAAATAACACCACTCTAACATATAGAACATTACATTGCATTTAGCTGACGCTTTTATCCAAAGCGACTTACAATAAGTGCGTTCAACCAACAAAATACAACTTGAAGAAAACAGAATCATATAAGTACATCAGGCTTCATAGAGCAAAAACATTTCAAGTGCTACTCAACTGGCTTTAGATAAGCCAGTCCTTTATTAGTATAAAAGTGCTTCGTTAATAGTTCTATCGCTCGAAGTGGAGTCGAAAGAGATGAGTTTTCAGTTTGCGCCGGAAGATGTGCAAGCTATCTGCTGTCCTGATGTCAATGGGGAGCTCATTCCACCATTTAGGAGCCAGGACAGCAAACCCACGTGTTTTCGCCGATGGGAACTTGGGTCCCCCTCGCAGCGAGGGCGCAGCGAGTCGTTTGGCTGATGCAGAGCGTAGTGCACGCGCTGGGGTGTACGGTTTAACCATGTCCTGGATGTACGAAGGGCCAGATCCACTCGCAGCATGGTAAGCAAGTACCAGTGTCTTGAAGTGGATTCTAGCAGTTACCGGAAGCCAGTGAAGGGAGCGGAGGAGCGGAGTAGTGTGGGAAAATTTAGGAAGGTTGAAGACCAGACGAGCCGCTGCATTCTGGATGAGCTGCAGAGGTCGGATGGCACATGCAGGTAGACCAGCCAGGAGGGAGTTGCAGTAGTCTAGGCGTGAGATGACGAGAGCCTGGACCAGAACCTGAGTCGCTTTCTGGGTCAGCTGGGGACGTATCTTCCTGATGTTGTAAAGCGTGTATCTGCAGCAACGGGTTGTAGCAGCGATGTTTGCAGTGAAGGACAGGTTGTTATCTAGGGTCACACCCAGATTCCTTGCAGTCTGAGTCGGGGAAACAACTGAGGTGCCGATGTTGATTGTTAGGTCAAGAGTGGGACAATCTTTTCCCGGAAGGAAGAGCAGCTCAGTCTTGTCAAGGTTGAGCTTGAGGTGATGAGCAAACCTGCAAAACCTGCAAAACCTGCTGCCATCACAAACAACCTGAGTGAGGAAACACTGTTGTTTATCTGTGTATGTTCTTTTGTGTTTTGACAGAGCGCATCACTCAGAGTATTGTTAAGTCCCACTTGGAGACGTGTCAGCTCAGCGCTGAAGACATGAAGAGATTCACCTGGGTACAATACGCGCCTGAGGAAACACGTGCTTTCCAAAACAAGGTACGTGATTCACGCTTTTAACCCTGAATGTGTAAAGTCTT